ATATATATATATAGATAAGCACCTGCTCGCGGACCACCGGGGGTCTGGGGACTACAGTCTGAGAACCACCACTTTAAAGCATAGTCAAATTAGAAAAGAGGCTTTCAACATGCTCTTTGTTTGTCTGTTAGCAAGACTAAACCTAAGTCCTTGAACCTTAAGCCATTTTATATGAATAGGACAGGTTGGTTTGAAAAGTCTGTTAGCAAAATTTGTTTCTTATATCTTACCCATTCATAAAATTTCTTTAACTGGCTTTTTTAAATTTCCGGGTCACGGAGGAGCTGGGGCACATCTCCAGTGGTTGGGGCCGTACCCAGCCCGCTCTCTGATAATTCCTCTAAAACATTCTCAAACTGTTTTCTGTTGAAACACTGGAAGAGACATGAGACCCCAACTATTCAAAAGCATTATGCATTTTTATTCAGTCACCATTACTGTTCATCGCTCCAATTCAACCGTGAGTCATTTTTACATTTATTTTAATTAGTGACGATCATTCAAAGACCCCCCACAGTGGCGTCCCACCACAACTTTGGGAACCAAAAGTTTAGAAAGTGACCTGCTGAGTGAGACGATGATCATAACCACTAATCCTCCAGAGAATCTCATCCTAAGATGAAGCCTGTATGCTGCTTTATGTTTCGTGATCTGTATGTGACATTCCACTTGCTTGTTAACATTTCAAAGTATATGAAAACTGAAATAGCCACTTTACTAGAGATTAATAACGATAGGTAAGATGTCACATGCAGACCAAAAAGCATTCTTCAAAAACATTCTCCAGAGTTCACACAGCGTTATTAAGTAGCTCTGGTTGAGAAATGGAACATGGATGAGAACACAGAAAATCATAGTTTGTTGCTGTTCGTGGATGACTCATCGATCGGGTACTTGGTTCGAGGTATTTTTGCAGCTATGATTTGTCAAATCAAACTCTAGATTTGAAAATGAAGATTAAAATGGGGACTGTTAAATCTGCTTCTAAGAACTCTTACTGAAAGTGCACTGAAAGAGTTTAGGTCCCATTCTACATCCAATGATGCATAGTCTAGGAGCACAAAGGTTCATCATCTAAAAGCGTACACATGAACAAGTACTCTGATTACACACAAGATCATATTTTCTGATATTAACTTAAATAAGATATGTCCAAGGTTTTAGACTTTTTAACTACCGTATTTTTCGGACTATAAGGTGCACTTCAAATCCTTTAACTGTCTCAACAATCAACCAACAGTGAGCCTTATAATCCGGTGCACCTTATATGTTAATTCTGGTTGTGCTTACTGAACTCGAATCGATTTGATGTGGTACACAGCGCTCAAAAATCCAAATGTCTGTCAAAATGTTTTAGTTTCGATTAATGCGCTTCGTAATCCGAAAAATACGGTAAAAGAGGGTTAAAAATGAATCTACTTGTATGTAAGAGTTAAAATTTGGCAACCAGATTATTATACCTAATTCAGTTTTAGCAATACATAAAATACAAATTCCTCATGTTGACAAGGGTCACTTGCACTTTGTTGGCTAATACTAGTCGTGTCCTGATAAAGATACTGGTATCAGTAGCCTGATAACAGCCTCAAATACTTGTACTCATAAAAACACCCCAATATTTAGGACCAATAGCACTTTTATGCTTGGTGACATCATTTCCTCTTCCGTTTTGTAGGTAATCAAGGAAAGTTTAGATATTTTAAGACAAACACAGGTGATGTTAAGACAGCATTGATGTGTTCTTAATAAAAGAAATGTGTTTCTACAGTTATTGTGCAATGTTTAAGTACAAACTCATTAAATACTCAGTATAGGCAAGTACCCAAACTCAAGTACTACTTGGTCTGAAAAAAAATAAAACTAGTATTGGGACACAAAGTTTAATGTAAATCTAAAGGAGCATGTGGACAAAAAGAGCTTAAACCAGGATCTATAAGCTGAACATCAGCTTCAGTGAAACCAGTTCAGCTCGTGGTGTAAACTGCTAAAACTAAAACTTTGAGTTTGTGCCGTTATCGTTTCACCTGAAGCTGGCGCCCCGCCCTGTTCGTCTCATCGGTGCAGTGCTTTCAGAAGGAGCGGCTTTCGCCGAGGTAAAATACCGTAACGTGAAAACAGACAGAATAAACACTAACATTAATAATAGCACCATTCTCAGTGATAATCGAGAGGAGCGCCATAGTTGACCTCCTGTCAAGTCCTCGTTCCAGCTTCTTTATTTCATCAATTAGTGGCTCCTGAATGAGATGAAACGTCTTCCTTCTGAAACTATCAGTTAAAGCAAGAAGGAGGCTCTCTTCAC